GCTACCCCAAAGACATTCATTCCCATAGATGGCTGCAAAGCCCATGGTAGACGCCGTGTCTGACCAAATGGTTGGTGAACTCTCAGACAATTCTGGGAGGAACATGCTCCTTCCATTCCATGTGCTTAGGAAATTCTGCCACATAAGTAGGTCTGCTGTGGCTTGGGCATCTAGGGTATGTCGGCTATCGTCATTAAAAAAATGTGGGAAGAGACAAAGAATCTCGATATGAAAGCACGCCCTTGGGGAATAATTCGCATTGCAAAATTTAAGGAATCTAATAGGAATTGTAATTCTTTATGACTGCAGGAACCTAAAAGAAGATATTGATTAATGCATGTGAGTATGTTCCCTATTTTGTCCTGCGGTAAGCTTGCCTGCATGGAAATGGAATCTAACTAAATGCCTAGGAAGTTAATAATAGTGTCCGGGCCTTCTGTTTTCTTAGGGAATACTGGAATCCCTAATCAGTCAAAAAGGCTGATGGCTTCCATGTGCTTCTTGGGGGAAGGGTGTTTTCTTCAACCATCAAAAAATCATCTAAGTAATGGATGATTGTGGGGCACCTGTTTATGTTCAGGAGTAACCAAAATAGTGCCTCAGCAAAAATGTCAAAGATTTTTGGGCTACTCTTTGACCCAAAAGTTAAGCGTGAGAAAAATAGTACCAGCCTTTCCATTTAATGCCATGTAGGTGCCAAAATGTGGGATGTATTGGTAGTAGTTTAAAAGTGTTGACTATATCTGTCTTGCTTAACCATGCTCTTACCTCCTGTCATACCTCCACGCGGCCCACGCCGCTCCGGTCCCGCCGTCCGCTTTGCTCCTCCTGGCTCTGCAGCTTCCAACACAGCGCACGCGCGCACCCGGATGCGCGCGACCATGGACGTGCGGCATGCATGCGCGGCATCTTAAAGCAATAGTACCATTTTTTGCAGCAATCCTGGTAACCCTTTTATATCTCCTATTCTCTTCCCTAGCCTATCAGATCTCTCTTAGCCCCATTTATACCTCCCTCCTACATCACTTCCATGCCCTGTCGTGGTCTATTGTAGCCCGAGAGTGTTTTCTGTATTCTTGTGTGTTTCCTGGTTTCTGGCTTTCTGCTTGTTTCTGGTTATCCATAATTTCTGGCTTCCTTGACCCTTGGCTTTGTTTCTCATTTATTCTTCCTTCTCCTGCCCTGACTTCGGCTCGTCTGATTATTCTGTTACTCTCCTTACTTTTCTTCACGTTAAGTCCGGCCACTTTAAGGACCGGAAATACGTCTAGCTTGGGTTGTCTGGTAGTCCTATAGTTAGCGTGTTGGGGAACCTAACCTTGACACCTCTGCATTAATGACAGCTGTAATGGCATTGTCAATGGTGGCTTACTGTAGGGAAAACTCCTTTGAAGGGATCAGTGAGTTTAGACTTGGATTGGCAGAGGTGTGGGGTGCTGACAGGTCAATGATTAGTCTTTGTTTTAAGGAGTTTTTTCCTGTGACAACCACCAATAGGGCTTGTCCTCCATGCAGTAAATGGTGGGGACTGGAAAGGTCCTAATAGGAAACCCTCAAGTTATGGCATTCTAGGTTCCCTGAAGGCATGTGTATGACACCTGTATGGAAACCTTCAGAAAATCCTGATATTAGGAAAACCACCTATCTTGAAGGATGTGTAGACAGTAAATCTGATAATGTATTAATATTGACAGACGTTAAGTAAGGTTTGGGGTACAGTTTATTGGGATACATGGTTTTTGCATGTTGAACAGATATGCAAAAGACTGCATGCTCTGAGGCTACATGTACAGGCATTGAAATTACTGCAAATTCTTGATTTCCCAAGGAAAATAATGGGACAACCTAACTTGTACCAAGCAGTTCTCTCTGTTGTACCAGAGGTGCTAGAAACAGGAGCATAGGGATAATCCTCAACTGTGTTGTGACAAAACTTGGTTGTGTGAGTGGAAGATGAACAGGATGCACAAGCTGGTGTCTTTAGACATAGAAACATAGAAACATAGAAACATAGAATGTGACGGCAGATAAGAACCATTCGGCCCATCTAGTCTGCCCAATTTTCTAAATACTTTCATTAGTCCCTGGCCTTATCTTATAGTTGGGATAGCCTTATGCCTATCCCACGCATGCTTAAACTCCTTTACTGTGTTAACCTCTACCACTTCAGCTGGAAGGCTATTCCATGCATCCACTACCCTCTCAGTAAAGTAATACTTCCTGATATTATTTTTAAACCTTTGTCCCTCTAATTTAAGACTATGTCCTCTTGTTGTGGTAGTTTTCTTCTTTTAAATATAGTCTCCTCCTTTACTGTGTTGATTCCCTTTATATATTTAAATGTTTCTATCATATCCCCCCTGTCTCGTCTTTCCTCCAAGCTATACATGTTAAGATCCTTTAACCTTTCCTGGTAAGTTTTATCCCGCAATCCATGAACCAGTTTAGTAGCCCTTCTCTGAACCCTCTCTAAGGTATCAATATCCTTCTGAAGATACAGGTCTCCAGTACTGTGTACAATACTCCAAGTGAGGTCTCACCAGTGTTCTGTACAATGGCATGAGCACTTCCCTCTTTCTACTGCTAATACCTCTCCCTATACAACCAAGCATTCTGCTAGCATTTCCTGCTGCTCTATTACATTGTCTGCCTACCTTTAAGTCATCAGAAATAATCACCCCTAAATCCCTTTCCTCAGATGTTGAGGTTAGGACTCTATCAAATATTCTGTACTCTGCCCTTGGGTTTTTACGTCCAAGATGCATTATCTTGCACTTATCCACATTAAATGTCAGTTGCCACAATTCTGGCCATTTTTCTAGTTTACCTAAATCATTTGCCATTTGGCTTATCCCTCCTGGAACATCAACCCTGTTACATATCTTAGTATCATCAGCAAAAAGACATACCTTACCATCAAGGCCTTCTGCAATATCACTAATAAAAATATTAAAGAGAATGGGTCCAAGTACAGATCCCTGAGGTACCCCACTGGTGACAAGTCCAAGCTTCGAATATATTCTATTGACTACAACCCTCTGTTGCCTGTCACTCAGCCACTGCCTTACCATTCAACAATATTGGAATCCAAACTTAAAGATTGCAGTTTATTGATAAACCTTCTATGTGCAACAGTGTCAAAAGCCTTACTGAAATCTAGGTAAGCAATGTCTACTGCACCACCCTGATCTATGATTTTAGTTACCCAATCAAAAAAATCAATAAGATTAGTTTGGCATGATCTCCCTGAAGTAAACCCATGTTGTCTCTGATCTTGAAATCCATGTGTTTTTAGATGTTCATCAATCCTATCCTTTAACATGGTTTCCATCACTTCCCCACTACTGAAGTAAGGCTTACTGGCCTATAGTTGCCCGACTCCTCCCTATTACCTTTCTTGTAAATGGGCACAACATTTACTAACTTCCAATCTTCTGGGACTACTCCTGTTAACAATGATTGGTTATATAAATCTGTTAATGGTTTTGCTAGTACACCACTAAGCTCTTTTAATAGCTTTGGGTGTATTCCATCAGGTCCCATTGACTTATTTGTCTTTACTTTTGACAGTTGAAATAGAACCTCTTCCTCTGTAAACTCACGTATAATAAATGACTCATTTATCCTTTTTCTCAACTGAGGTCCCTTTCCTTCATTTTCTACTGTAAATACAGAACAAAAATATTCATTGAGGCAGTCAGCCTGACCTTTATCCTCTTCTACATACCTTCCTTCTTTTGTTTTTAATCTAACTAATCCTTGTTTTACTTTCTTTTCTCATTTATGTATCTAAAAAATGTTTTATCCCCCTTTTTTACTGACTGTGCTATTTTCTCTTCTGTGTGTGATTTGGAAGCTCTTATAACTTGCTTAGTCTCTTTCTGCCTAATCTTATAGATCATTTTGTCTTCCTCACTCTGGGTTTTTTTATAATTTCTAAATGCTAACTTTTTGTTTTTAACTATTTTGGCCACATCTGCGGAGTACCACAGTGGTTTCTTGAATTTTTTGCTTTTACTGACAAGCCTAAAGCAATTTTCTGTTGCCTTCAATAGTGCAACTTTTAAATAATCCCATTTTTCTTGGACTCCATTTAAATTGCTCCAGTCTGATAATGACTCCTCTACCCATATTCTAATTTTTAGAAAAGTCTGTTTTTCTAAAGTCTAAAACTTTTGTTTTTGTGTGGTGTGACTCAGTCACTGTTCTTATATTAAACCACACTGACTGATGATCACTGGATCTAAACTTTCACCTACAGTAATATCGGATATCAAATCTCCATTTGTTAACACTAAATCTAGTATGGCTATAACTGCAGGTTGGCTCTGCAACAACTTTGCTTTAGAACAACTCCAGTAGAGGTTTAGAATATGTGTGCTCCTGGCACAAGTAGCAATTTGTTTTCCAATTTACATCAGGAGATTAAAGTCACCATGATGATAACTTCCCCTTCATTATTTAGCTATTTCCTCAACTAGTAGATTATCTAACTCTTCAATTTGTTGTCCAGGGCCTATAATCACACCTACGGTGCACAATGCGATTACACCAAATTCTTGTCTTAAGCAGGACTCTATGTTTGCCTCACTAACTTTTTATTAGGCTACTAGATTTTATGCTTTATCCTTCACGTGCCTCCCCCTTTCTTGCCTTCCCTATCTTTCTATATAAAGGTACCTGGTATTGCTGCGTCCCAGTCATTTTTTCTCATTGTACCATGTCAGTAACAATGACTAAATCTTTACACTATCAGTTGCCATTATTGCCACAAGTTCATGGATTATTCCCTAAACTGCGAGCATTTGTAGACATGACTCTAAGTTTATCATTTTGTAACACACTTGCTACAGGCACCTTCTGTCCTTGTTTTGGGGGACAAGTGGATTGATGTTTTATCACCCTTTTGCCCCCCCCCCCTCCTAGTTTAAATACATCCTAGCAAAACCTCTGAACTGCTCACTGAGAACATTTGTTCCCTTTTGAGAAAGATACAAACCATCTTTTTTGTACAGCTTATCTCCATTCCAAACAGAGCTACCATGAGAAATAAAGCCAAATCCTTGCTCCCGACACCATTCACCAAGCCACAAATTAAAGTCCCTAATACGCATCCACTTGTCGTTCTGAGTGTTATGCACAGGCAGAACTTCAGAGAATGATAGTGTGGAAGCAACCTGCCGTATATCATTGGCAAAAACCCTAAAAACTTCCTTAACCTCTGAAACCTCATTGTAAGCCAAGTCATTTGTCCCTAGATGGACAAGTACATCCAATTCCCCTTCCTGCTTTGCTTGCTTAACAATATTACAGATACGTCTCCTGTCTCTGTGAGCAGTAGCTCCGGGAAGACACCTCACAAGACCACCATTGTCCATCTCCACACCTCTTATAATGGAATCACCCAACAACTGCTTTCTATTAGGCTTCACCATACTCTCCAAGCCGGTCTCCACAACACCACTAGTCTCAGTGCCTCTCTCCACAACACCACTAGCCTCAGTGCCTCTCTCCACAACACCACTAGCCTCAGTGCCTCTCTCTACAACACCACTAGCCTCAGTGCCTCTCTCTACAACACCACTAGTCTCAGTGCCTCTCTCTACAACACCACTAGTCTCAGTGCCTCTCTCCACAACACCACTAGCCTCAGTGCCTCTCTCCACAACACCATTACACTCTGAAAGTGCAGAAAATGAATTATGAAGAGCAACAGACTGTGCAAAATGCCTTTTATCCACAACTCTAAGTCTACCAGATCCTACAGTAATCCATCTGCCTTTCCTAGCATGTCTCTGCGGCAGTGGTTTTGCAGCAGTTCCAGTCTGAGTTTCTTCACCAGATAATTTACAAATCTCAGACTTCAAAAATACAATCTCCTGCCGCAAGATAGAGAACTGTCTACAGATTAAACAACAACCAAACCTCCAAAAACTGGAACGTGAAACAAATGCATAGCAATTGTTACACTGAACTAAACCTGCCATTCCAATTATAAGAATAATATAAATCGAACAAATCTTAACTTTTGTATTTATCCTCCTGAATACCTCAGATTACCTCCAAGTTATCTCCAGAATATCTCCAACGACACACTTAGAAACAGCACAGCACTTTGAAGTAGCACCAAGCTATATTAGACAAGCTAATGGAACCAGGCCTTATATAACTCCTAAAATCATCGCCCACTAGGAATGATTAACACCTGGGTAGGCCTCTGCTTATTTGCAAACAATAGCTAATTAACCAGCAATCAACAGCAAGTAACTAGCTTAATCAAATCAAATGCCTTATAATTACCAACAGGAATTCAAACCTTGTGCAATCAGTAACCTTTTCCTACAGATGAATCTTACCAACAGGAATTCAAACCTTGTGCAATCAGTAACCTTTTCCTACAGATGAATCTTACCTGTAACAGTAGAAAAGAAAGCTCTTAGCACAACTCTTAGACAGTTGAAGCTTCTGTAAAACTCTCCAGAATATCTCCAACGACACACTTAGAAACAGCACAGAAAGTTTCTCTATCTAGTTTCCTCCAATTGGTCCTATTCCCGAATTGAGAGAGAGTGCCAGACACTTTGGCTGAAAAAGACCTATGTTAATCATAGAAATCTGTACCACCGTGTTTGTTGCCTAGGTCTACCAGCTTGTGCATATACAAATCAAATTCTTCCCTTCTTTTTGGGAAAACAGAGCAAACCACATCCCTATATATACCAAAGGCTAAAACAAACTCTGGTATGGTCAGTTTCCTGTTTAACCTGGAATTCCTAGCCTGTATCACAATCGATTAATGATCATATGCATAAGTCTTATTTTCTACTATATCCTGGGAGGAAATTAGGAGTGATGCCAGGTTAACATCTTTACCTTCCACAATATCTTTTTTAATATGAGCTGGGATCATGTGAGCAGGGTTAACGTCCTGTGAATCTGAAGTAGTCACTGAACCACTTAAGTTAATTTCAGTAGAGACTGGTTGAACTGTGGAGAAAGCTGTTGTCAGAGCTAGAGTGGCCGACTCCAGTTTCTATAATCTGTCGTTGACTCTCCCCATGGAGCTCATGAGTGATGATAACATGGAGTGAATATCTGCTGAATTAGCATTGCTTGGGCCTTCCCCAGCCTCTCATATTATCTGTTGATGTGCAAAGCAGTTTGAATAGTTCTGCTTTCCTAGCGGAAGCTGGGTATGGAATCTGATGTCTCCTGAGTTCAGTAGTAATGGGAGGGATAGTCCAGAGTCTGATTGATACTGGACTAGCCATGTCTCCTCTACGTGAAGGTGTGCTGGATCTAGCTGGAGTGCTGGGTAGAAATAGCTCTTCTGCACCTACTTGAGACATACTAAATAACATAAAGATTACCATTATTACCTTTACATATTTGACATAGTACTGGTTTGCTAGCTAATGAAAAGTGGTGAAACAATTATACTAAGTTTGGTGACTGGTGAGGCCCTGCTAGATGCCCAGCAGCTTGAGAGGCTCTATCTATGCATTGGCGCAAGGGGATTTGGTGGCCACCGAAACATTGTGATGGGGTGTTGGCCTCTCTGTGACTGTAACAGTTTAAGATAGAAAGGGAGTGACAGGTGAGGCACTCTCTATGCTACTATGGGAGATGGCTAGGTATGATTGACCCAATGGGCGTATGCCTCCAGGAATGAGGGTAGGTGTTGGCCTTGTGGGACCACTAACCTAAGGCATGGAGGCCGTAGAAATGAAGTTACCTATTGGACTCCTAGGACCCTATTTGCCAGTACGCTTATAACTAGAAAACTGAGGGGTATAATATATATGTTATAAGCAGGTAACGTACCTTGGTAAATATAGTTTTATGCTGATAAACCAGCTAGTAGCTTTTGTTGTACTTGCAAAACCTAATGGATAAAACAACATATTGAATCATGGAACAAAACATGACCTCGTCCTTATGCGTAATATATGTATAACGTACAAGTAAAAGAGCAAAAGTGCCCCGCAAATCAAGCTACTTGTAACGTTCTAACTCACCCAATGTAGTGACAAAAGGAAATGTCTATATGCTTAGTCTATAATTAACAAAATATGGAAATACTAATGAAAAGAATAAATATACATAGACCCCTAATATCATAGTAACCAGATACATATTATAAAAGTAATACAGAAACGTATATGACCATGAACCATTTAAAAGATTATATGCCAATACTATCTAATGAATATACCATCTATCAAAATATAAGAAAAAAACCCAACAACCTGATGTATAGTGTTATTTAACAATGTCTGTACCAAAAGATACCAGTAGGGGTCATTATAGTAGCGTGTATAGTCGAAATGCAATTTTCGTGTGATCAAGTGCACGAAAGCCGAGCTGTCATAGGCTTCTGTGCAGTCTAGCCAAGTATGCTAGTGTACGAACGGGCTGACCCTCATTCGGGTGTTTTAAATGAAACCAAACAGATAACATAATTTGCAACACACAGACCTCGTTTGGCAGAAATGCATGAATGAAACGGTTTACACAAATGAAACAGAAGCCAGTAAAACGTATGAAGTATGCGAACGGTAAGCATAAAAAGATAGACCTGACCCGTGATGACGCGTGGGACCGCAACAGTGGTGCAACGGGCAGGTCAGTGGCTTACGGTTTTTTATGAGTATCTGCTCTTTCCTCGGAGATGCCTGCTTGGAAGGAGCTGTTTGGATGGGGAAAACTGCGGCCCATGACATGAACAGCTGGAACAAGTGAGACCTTGTAGAGAACAGGTAAGTTTTCAAGTAGTCGCATGCAAATTGTTAGACCTCGGATGGTATGGAGTAAGGTAAGGGGTTCCCTTACGTAGGTAAGTAACACATATATGCCCCTCCCATAATTACTCCCCCCCCACTTAATACATATATACATACATTCTATGTCTTTATATATATATACATATATATATATATGTATACACATATATGCATTCACAAAGTTGAAAAAAGTAGATATGGCTATACAAAGATGGTTAGAACACAAATAGAATCACAAATTATGCAACCAACTTTGGAATATTTTACTCTTAGACAACTTATGCAAAATCAAACAAAGAGATTGTGTTCTTTGTTATATATAGCTGTTAAAACTGTTGAGCAAAAAAACGGAAATAATTGTACTTGGGCAACTGGTCAAGGTACATTGGCTACTTGAGCCAAGTGGTATGAGTTTATTAAAGGATCACTATAGGGTCAGGAACACAAACATGTATGGATCCATTTTAGGCAACCATGACACAGGAAGGATCTCTAACAGCCATCTGATGAGTGGCCAGTGAAGTTATCACTAGGCTGTAATGTAAACACTGCATTTTCTCTGAAAAAAAAAGCAAAAAGCCTGAGGGAGCTATTCTACTCACTAGAACAAATTCAATAAGCTGTTCTGGTGTTCTGGTGACTATGGTGTCCCTTTAAGGTTGCATTAAAGCCTTCAAACTCTCTAATATATACATAATTATTTGAATTCTTATTTGTTGTTGTGCCCTCTGGGCTGTGAGACTTAGATGATGTTGGATATAATGTGACCTACCCACAAAATAATTGTGGACCTGATAGTGGAGAAAAAAAGTTGGGTTATAACTGTACAAGAAAAAACTGGGTTTTTTTTTGTAACACATACACCAGAACACTAGTCTGTGGAGTTTATATACTAGGGTTCATAAGTAAGTAGTAGCAAGAGTTCCAATATGGCTTTTTATTGGATAAAATGTTGCTATGCCCATTGGCTTGCCCTGCTGTACAGAATAAAGGTATATTGTGAAAGATCTAAAATATTTATTTGTATCCATAGTCCATTTGAGTTCAACCACTATTAGGTTTCCTACAGGAAAACTGCTACAGGAGACTTTCACTTCTCATAAGATAAGGAAGTAAAATGCATAGATCAAATTGCATTGAATTGATTTTAAACTGATCAGTATAGAATAAAAAACAAAAAAAACTATTTTCTAAAAAGAGCATAGGAGAATGTAAGCAATATGTTAAATTGCTTATTGTGCATATTTTAGCTATAAAAACATATAGTTCTATCTAATGGCATATCAAATGAAAAGAACTTTTCAATATACTAATGTACTTCTTTAATTCACATTTTTTGTTTTTGTTATATAAAAGGGTTCTTAGCATCCATTCACTATATGTTAAATGCATAGAACTTGCTCCCTCATTAATGCACATTGCAACATCATCTGCAGA